CCAGTCGACATTCTTTCATCGACGGGATCCGCAGCATACCCCCCCTGCCTGACTGGGTAGGACGGGTAGATATAATGGGGGTGAGACGGTCCCTCAGGTAACCCAGTCCCATGCCATGCAGGGCTTTGGAGGTGATAACCAACACCTTGAATTGGACCCGGAAGCAGACTGGGACCCAATGCAGTTCACATAGTAACGGTGTAACATGTGCCATCCTTGGGGCACCTAAAATTGCCTGCGCAGCTGCATTTTGAACCAGCTGAAGCTGCCGGGTACTCTTCAAGGGTAGCCCCATGTAGAGTGCATTGCAATAGTCTATATGGGAGATGACTAGGGCCTGAGTGACTGACTGAAGGGACTCCCGATCCAGAAAAGGGCGTAACTGGTGCGCAATACGTAGTTGAGCAAGGCCCTCCTGGCCACAACTGAGCAGGAGTTGTGAGTCCAGGAGGATCCACAGGTCTGGGGCAGTGCAACCCCATCCAGAACCAAAGATGGTAAATTTCTGGAGACAGAGGAGCCCCAACCCACAGCCACTCCGTCTCACCAGGGTTCAGCTGAAGCCTCTGTTCCCCATCCAGACCCCCACAGCCTCCAGGCACCGCGAAAGGGTAGCCACAGCATCACTCAAATCACCTGGGATGGAGATATATACCTGGGTATCATCTGCATATTGATGATACCTCATCCCATGGTGGTGGATATCTCGCCCAGTGGTTTCATGTAGATGTTAAAAAGGGGCAGGGAAAGTACCGAACCCTGCAGCACCCCACAAAGGAGGGGCCACGGGCTGGACCTCTCGCTCCCTATCAACACCGATTGGGACCGGGCTTGGAGGAAGGAAGAGAACCAGCACAAAACTGTGCCACCCACCCCCAACTCCCCAAGCCGACCCAAAAGGATACCATGGTCGATGACATCGAAAGCCGCTGAGAGGTCAAGAAGAGCAAAGATGGATGCACTACCCCCATTCCGCTCCCGCCAGAGATCATCCAAGAGTGCAACCAATGCTGTTTCAGTCCCAAATCTGGGCCTGAAACCCAACTGGAAAGGGTCCAGATAATCCGTTTCATCCAGGATCCTCTGAAGCTGCAACGCCACCACCTTCTCAACCACCCTCCCCAAAAAGGGGAGGTGGGGGGCTGGGCGGAAATTGTCCCGTTAGGGGGGGTCCCGCGATGGTTTCTTGTGGTGGGGGGAGCAGAG